CTGATTGGCTCCTCATAGCATATTTCACCATGGAAGTGATTACATTATGTCATATCTCATCATGGGAGATGACTATATTACAACTGCTTAGAATCATGGTTCAATCAAGTTGATACACAACCTTAACTATCATATATATATAAGCTCCAGTGGTGTAGTGCTTAAGACATTTGACTGCTAACCAGAAGGCTAGTGGTTCAAACCCACCAACCAGTCCTCGGAAGGAAGATTGGACAATCTACTTCCGCAGAGATACCACCTCAGAAACCCAAGGAGGGGTCGCTATGAGTCGGATCCAACTCGATGGCAGTGAGTTTGGTTTTTTGGTATATGTATATTTAACCTTTAAAGAAAACCTGTTTTCTTTAGGTAATGTCTTAAACCAAGTTCTCTAGAGAAGCAAAACCAGTGACAATTACACAGAAAGAGAAGGAGAGACATTTATCCCAGGGAAGTGGCTCACTCAGTTGTAGAGGCTGGCAAGTCCCAAGTTCCTGGATCAAATGTCAAGCTAGAGCTTTTTCCTGACTCATGCAGCTGCAGGGGCTGATGAACCCAAGATCAGCAGGCATTGTAGCAGGCTGCTGACTTCAGGGGATGATGCATCCAAGATTAGTAGATAAAATGGCAGATTATTAATTTACAGGCTGCAAAGGCAACCGTCCCAAGATTGACAGGCAGTATAGCAGGCCACTGGTTCAGCTTCAAAAATTGGATGATGATGATAAGCTAGATGCAGAATCTATATCCAACAGAAAACCAGAAAATTTTCCTAAGATATCCAGAAGGCAGTCCACACCCCTGAAGAAACTGCCTTTCAGCTGATTGGCTCCTCATAGCGTACCTCACCATGGAAGTGATTACATTATATAAGATCTCATCATGGGGAATGACTACATCACAATTGCTTAAACCACTTAGAATCATGGTTCAATCAAGTTGATATATAACCTTAACTATCATCGTCCCCCCTTTTGTCAACTTGGCATATGTACACATCTCCTTAAACCACATATAATCTCTAAATGAAGACAATTATAAAGCCATACTTGCACCCTGAGAAACAAGATAGGTATAAAATGAAATTTCAAATTACTAGTTGAAATAATCTTTAATTTAATAAAATTTAAATAATTTAAATGGATTATGCTATATATAAATAAAAAACAAAAACCAAACTTATTGCTGTCAAGTCATATCCAACTCATAGCAACCCCTCCTTGGGGTTCCGAGGCAGTATCACTACAAAAGTAGATTGCCCAATCTTCCTTCTGAGGAGTGGTTGGTGGATTTGAACCGCCAACCTTCCGGTTAGCAGTCACATGCCTTAGGCACTAGATCACCAGCACTCCTTATATATAAATATATGTGCTGTATATATCATATTATATATCACTCACTCACTGTCATTGAGTCAGTTTGACTAATAGCAATCCCTCCTTGGGTTTCCAAGGCAGTATCTCTATGGAAGTAGATTGCCCAATCTTCCTTCCGAAGAGTGGCTTGTGGGTTTGAACTGCTAGCTTTCTGGTTAGCAGTCAAGTGCCTTAGGCACTACGCCACCCCACCAGAGCTCCATATTGTGTATGTGTGTGTGTGTGTGTGTATAAAACTCACTGCCAGCAAGTTCATTGCAACTCTTAATGACCCCCTTGGGTTTTTGAGGCAGTATCTCTGCGGAAGTAGATTGCCCATTCTTCCTTCCAAGGAGTAGCTGGTGGGTTTATGTGTGTGTGTGTGTGTGTATGTGTGTGTGTATTTATACACACACAATTGCATATCCTTTTCTGTAAAGACTTTTACATTAGTCTGAAGTATGATATAATATGTCTGTTTTCCTTGCGATTGCTAAGTCAGGGAAAAGAGGTATGTCATTTATTTTTATTTTTTTTCCCCCTGAAAATCCTTGGGAGCTGTGTTTTATTTAGTGACTCTGTTCTGGAATCTTTTTGAAGGAAGAAGTTTGAAGACCTTTAGCTGTGTGAGGTGGATTTTCTGTGTATTTGAAACTGAACATTTTGAAGTTCCATATTACAGTTTTACTAGGCTTTAAAAGTTTAATTCTACTTTTATTAGTTTCTGGACCCCTTCCTTGCAGATGGCACTATCTAAGGCTTGAGCTGCTATACGTTGGGTATAGAATACAGTGGCCAAGAATAAACTAAGAGGGCAGAAATCCAGGAATGTATTTCATATAGCAAACCAAAAAAACTTTTAAGTCTAAAAACAAAGCAAAACTAGTTACCACAAATCTTAAAAAAATAGACATTGTGAATGATGAAAAAAGTAGCAGTAAATAAAGCTTTGTAGATAATACAAAAGGATATCTTGCACACTTCTCAATAGGCCTTTCCCTTGACCTCTGCAGAAAGAACTGATTCCTCACAGTATCATGAAAACTAACCAGTTTATGATGATGAGACTACATGATTAATAACTTAGATGTAATGCAGCGGTGATACATCAAATTCCCAAAAACCAATAAATTTAATGTTTTATACCAAAAAAAAAAAAAATTAAGTCTACTTTTAATTTCAGAGAGTATCTAATGTTGTTGTTGTTGTTGTTATGTGCCATCGAGTCAGACCCGACTCATAGTGACCCCTCCTTGGGTTTCCGAGGCTGTATCACTACGGAAGTAGATTGCCCCATCTTCCTTCCGAGAAGTGGCTGGTGGGTTTGAACCGCCAGCCTTCTGGTTAGCAGTCAAGTGCCTTAGGCACTATGCTACCAGAGCTCTTTTTCTCTTAAGTAATGTATGTGAAGCCTATTTTAAAAACTTACTACTTAAGTGAAAATTAAATCTGAATCTTACTTGAATCTAGTCTTCTAGCAGAAGTTAAACTTTTGACAGTCAACAGAAGAGTAATATTTTCTGTGTACTCAAATGATGATACCCTCTGTTGTTGTTGTTATGTGCCGTGGAGTCAGACCTGACTCATAGCGACCCCTCCTTGGGTTTTCGAGGCAGTATCACTACGGAAGTAGATTGGCCCCATCTTCTTTCCGAGGAGTGGCTGGTGGGTTTGAACTGCCATCCTTCTGGTTAGCAGTCAAGTGCCTTAGCCACTATGCTACCAGAGCTCCCAGTACTGAAAAATTAGAAGTACTGGGAAGTATGTCCAAATATTGAAGTTGGGAGCAAGAGGGATTATAAGGTAGTGTAAGAGCTCTGGTGGCATAGTGCCTAAGGCATATGACTGCTAACCAGAAGGCTGGCAGTTCAAGCCACCAGCCACTCCATGGAAGGAAGACTAGGCAATCTACTTCCGTAGAAATACTGCCTCGGAAACCCAAGGAGGGGTCACTATGAGTAGGAACCAACTTGACAGCAGTTTTTTGAGAATGAGTAAGAGATGGCAAATCTATATTTTCTCTAATATGTGAGTTTTAGGATGAAATACCAAACCACACAGATTACCATATTGAGTATGCAAATTTTTATTCTCACAGAGAATATGAAAGGCTTTATGGGTTGTTGGGGGATTTAACCTTTTACTTTGTGAGACAGCACACCATTGAGGGGTTTCAGCAGAGGCGTGTCATGAGTTTAGTCTTAAGAGAACCACTCTGGCTGCCATGTTGAAAATAGACTTCCTGTGTACAATGAATGCTCATTTCCACAGAGCATATACATATTAAATACTCCTCTTTTAAGTCCTAATTCAGAAATCAGCTCTTCTAATAAACTAGCTTTTCCTAAACGCTGTTATCTGGACATGGTTGTTCTCTCCTTTGCTAATATCGTTAATAGTCCTTTAAATCCTGTATGATTTTTTTTATTAGGCTATAAAAATTCTCCAAAGACAGAGATTGTGGCTTGTGTACAAAGAGAGCCTATAAATATTGCTTAATTGAATTAATACTACAACTTTAGCTACAGCTGAAATCATGAGAACATTTTCTTGCATCATAACATGAAATCGTATTTTGATGAAAATGTTGTTCTGCACTTGCTTTTATAAGTAGAATTACATTTAAATGCAGTAATAAAAATAGCAACTACTTACATAATGTATATTATGTGCCAGGTATTTGTCAAAGTTCTTACCTATATTCACTTATTTTATCTTCACACAATATGAGAGGATATTAATATCTCCCAATGAGAAATTGAAGCACATAATAATTACATAATTTCCACAAGGTTTCTCACCTCTTAAGTGACAGAGTCAGGATTCAAATCCAAACTGTCTGTTCTAACTGAATATAGTTATTTTTTTTGGTAGGTTTTGACCAATAGAATTTCAAAAACAATTTTGGGAACCAACGTAGTATTGAGAGCTATACCATTTTTTATTTATTTAAAATTGTAACATTTAGTCTGACAACCACTCCATTATTTCAGAAAGCTTAAAATTATGTAAAATTTTCAGTAATCCTTTTTTAAAATGGAGTCCTTGGCTTCTGGTGGTATATGGTTAAGCATACAGCTACTAACTGAAAGGTTGGTGGTTCAGACCTACCTAGAGGTGCCTCAAAACAAAGATCTGGCAATCTGCTTCTGAAAGGTGAAATCCATGTGTGCTCCGTGGGGCTTTTAAGTCCTAATTCAGAAGTCACTCTTCTAAACTAGCTTAAAAGCCCTGTGGAGCACATACATCTATTCTGCAGCAGTTAGTATTACTATAAGTTCTGGAGTCAGCCTCACAGCAACAAGATTTTTTTAAATATTAAATGACTACATAATTATATGGGAGCTCTGGTAGCATAGTGGCTAAGGCACTTGACTGCTAACCAGAAGGCTGGTGGTTCAAACCCACCAGCCACTCCTCGGAAGGAAGGTTGGGCAATCCTACTTCCGTAGTGATACTGCCTCGGAAACCCAAGGAGGGGTCGCTATGAGTCGGGGCCGACTCAACGGCACATAACAACAACAACAACAACAACATAATTATATAAGTTTTAAAAAATTGATTTTTATATAAGGAAAAACAAAATAATAACATATTAATATAAAAATACCATGGGAACAAACTTTTTATTTTTTCCCTATTTAGGGCCTGTATTTCTTTGGGATCCAGAACTCGAGCCATTGGAAATGCAGCCAAGAGCCAGGTAAATTGTTAATGTGGATATTTTGACTTACAGGAAGAATTAACTGTATCTTGGTAACTAAACTCCCATTTTATATAGTTAAAAGTGGGGGGAAAAAAGAACAAGGAAAAATAAGACAAACTCCTAAGATCTTTGTATTTTATTAGATATATTTTGCTTTTTGAGGTGTAAAATATGCCTTAACTTTTATTTTTAAAAAAATCTTTTTAGTTATAAAGTTAGGGTATGCTACCATATGACATCAGTTTTCCCTGTATGATCTCTGTTTCTAAGAGGGATATCCTATCTAGAATATCCACTTCAAAGATGAGGTGAGCAATGTCTATATAAAAAAAGGTGGGGGGAAATGGAGGAACTAATTTTCAGAGCAGTCTCACGTACCTATTGCTGCCTTACCTCATTCTGTCTAAGTATTCATATTCTAGACTTCTGAAATGCTTATGGTAGTGTTGTTGACAGTGTTCTGAGCTGTAAGTATATTTTCCTTGAATTTGCCCTTACCAATTACTTCTGCATTAAAAAAATATATATATATGTATATATATATGTATGTATGTATATGTAATATATATATATTATATATATATATATATAATGTGTGTGTGTGTATATATATATATATATATATGTCTTTCTTTTCTTCATTTATAAAATAACTTCTTAATGGGATTTTTGCCTCATGACTTTGTGGGTATAATTGACTCATTTAATTTATCTTAAAACTTTTTGCTCCTGGTTTCTATCAAGGCTATCTTTTATTGAAAGGCTATCTTTTAATTAATTAAAGTAGTCAGGAATTTCATTTTACTTGGATCCACATTTAGTAGCCATGGAAACAGCAGATGCATATTACACTGGGCAAATCTGCTGCAAAAGACCTCTTTAAAGTGTTAAAGAGCAAAGATGTCACTTCGAAGACTAAAGTACTCCTGACCCAAGCCAGGGTATTTTCAATAAACTCATATGCATTTGAAAGCCAGACAATGAATAAGAAAGACCGTAATAAGAATTGATGCATTTGAATTGTGATGTTGGCCAAGAATACTGAAAATACTATTAACTGCCAGAGGAACAAACCAATCTTAAAAGTACAGCTGGAATGTGAGTGACCAGTATGGCACCACTGAGGATGAGAAAGACAGAGAGAGGTACATGGGAGGTACAGACAACAAATATGAATCCTTTTGCACATACCGTACTGCGTTGTCAGTGAAGGCAAACGTGGGTACATGAATGGATAGATGGGTGGACAGGCTAAACAATTAGGTATGTCTATGAAATGGGGAGTGTATCCAAGAACATACACA